TCGGACTCTACCATCATCAATGTTAGATCTTGGTGAAACATTAATGCAACACTGGATTACACTACGACATTGAAGAAGCTTATGGATACAACACCACAGCGAATGTGTGTAATAATTAAAGCTAAAGGTGGTCCAATTAAATATTAGTGTGTGTGTGTGTGACCTTTTTTTTGGTGGCAACTATTTTTTGGCCAGGCAGAGTATTTAACATGTTCATATGCATACATGCAGACTTTCAAGATTCTCATGAGTAGCCAAGAAGTGATTCATCTGAATTTATTTTTACTGTTTTTGTAATTGTGTTATTTTTCTCCTAAATATTGTTTAATTCTGAATGTCCGTTGTCCCAACTTACCACCAAAATGAGGCCTGATGGAATCAATTTTGCCTGAAGGAAAATGTGGGCAGTCAGAGCAAATAGTACCAGGACAAATTGTGAAACATATTTAGTGCTTTGATAATTAGTGTTGTTTGAATAGAGCAACAAAATTATGTTGCATAATTGAGTTTACAGCCTGAATTAATTGTTTGTTTAAAATAAGTTTTGTTGACAGGATTTTATTTGTAAACTGCATTATTTATGTTCATTTGAGAAGCTGAGGGCTATGGTTGTGTCCTCTGAAATGCACTGAATCGTGGCCGTAGAGAGAGGAGAGGATGCACTCACAATTGTCCAACTATCCGTTCTTGTCTGCTTAATCAAGTCCAGTCACATGATATCAATCCCTGCAGAAAGGCCTGAACCATCCTCTTCTAAGCAAACTATCAGCTTCCTTACTGGGACTTCAAGGCCAATGTCTTGCCTGTCAGAGTCCCATCGGGTAGGTGGGCGGGGTGTTGCGATGGAGCCAAGTGTTTGTAAAGGCTTTGAAATTAACTTTGGACTATTTAAACTTTGCGTTCTTCTGAGTTAAGAGTATATAGAGGTAATGATTTGTAGGTGGTTACTTTTAATACGCTTTCAATAGAATATAAAAGTATTCAATAAAATGTAATATTTCATAAAAATATGAATCATCAATAAGAAGAAGGAGAAGAAGAAGATATATTTTCTATAGCGCCTCTCAAGATAAAAATCACGAGACGCTTCACAAAGAACTAAAAATGTAAAAATATAAAAAAGAATTTAGAAAAGGGTTCAAAATATATTTAAAATGAGCACAAAATTGACAATTGCGATAAAAAAAAGGTTAAGAAAGAGAGAGTGAATAGGAAAGAGGGAAATCAGTGGATCCTGAGGAAGGTGGAATAGGTGGGAAGAGCAGAATAAAGAGAGAGTGGTGAAGAAGGTCATACAAATGCCAGCTTGAACAAGTGAGTCTTCAGCTGCTTTTTAAAGGAGACCACTGAGTCCACTGATCTCAGGCTCAGGGGGAAAGAGGTCCAGAGTCTGGGGGCCACAGCAGCAAATGATCTGTCACCTTTGGTCTTTAGCCTGGTGTGCTGCACAACCAGTAGGCTTTGATCACTGGACCTCAGGGACCTGCTGGAGGTGTAGGGACTAAGAAGATCACCAATGTAAGATGGTGCTTGTCCATGTAAGGCCCTATAGACCAGAACCAGGATCTTGAAATGAACAATGTTACTGAGCCTTTGATATTTGATTGATGATGAAACTAGGTACATTAGATAATGCCAGGGAAACAAAACTTTATAATTATTTGACACAGAGACAAAATATAGTTTATAAAAATATATTTATTATTATATTTCTATTATCAATGGTGATGATGAAAGGCAAATGATAATTAATGGTAATTGAAAGTGATACTAAATGAGACAATGAATGAACTCTGTAAGTTTTAGGAGCTTCACTAAGTAACTCAGAAAGGTGTGATGTGTGGGTTTATGAAATATATTTGGCTGTTTGTTTGATGTAATTTAACAAGTTATCAAATTAATATCAACACTCCGACACCACTGAATAGCCTATATGCACCAGGATAGTGGAAGTTCTTGGAGATCCGGTCTGCAAGCAAAACAATCTCGCAGAGCGAGTGACTGGACATCTGAGGTACTGTATCTGATGGTCGTAGGGCTACCTCAGAACACGCACAACTGATCAAAAGATACTTCCCAGGTAGCTTCTGGTCGACGGTTTCACGTTGATATGTTAGTGGTGGATTGAGCAAATAATAATTGGTTGATTCATAAAGGATGGTCTTTTAAGCCACTATAATTATTCCACTGAAAAATCTGGTTGATTCCCCATTGGATGGTCATTTAGCATGAGCTTTGGGCTTTGGCTGAACTCGGAGCTCTGGAAAAACTGGGAAATATAGGAAGTGATTTAACTTTTAGGAAGTGTTTTTTTATAAATGTGGACCAACCTGATCTGAGAAATTTGTGTAGGCGTTTACCAAGACCCACGGACATCACAACATTTATGTTAATTCATTAATTATTTTTACATTACTTTAGATAGAACATTCATTGTAGATAACATAGAATATTTCTGTAAACAACGTGTAGATTGAAGGAAATAATTTTATGAAACTAAGGATCACTTTATTAAAAGAGTAAAAGTCTAGACTCCTGCGGGAGACTTTTGAGGTGCACCTCCTTGTAAACATGAGAGATTGTTTGGACTAAGTTTCCGGATGGTGCCACTAGAGAAGTTAAGATTGGAATTGTTTTGGTACATGGAAGAACGCAACATTCCTATAAGAGGCTGCTGGACATTTGACCGTGTTGACCTCTGACATTGCTGTGGACAAAAAACCTTGTTGGACTTTTCCAACGCTACAAAGAGGTACTTAAGTCTTTTATTTAGAAAATATGCTACATCCGTAGGGGTGAGTATGTCACGTTGTTTGTTGTTCAACTGCACACAAAGACAGTTTGAAAGACAACCGTAGATCCGCACCATGACTGAGATCTGTTTATGAGTTGTAGCCAGACTATATATTAATTATGTAGGATGGCTTGCCAAGCTACCAAAGCTCATGACGATAGGTAAGAATTTGAATTAAGATCTACCAGCAAATTAAGAGCTTTGCTTTGCGGCTTAGCTCCCTGTTCACCTCAAAGGACGACTGCAGTGTCAGCATCACTGCAGATGCTGGCTCTATCGGTCCGTCAATCTTCCACTCAGTCTTTATTCACTCATGAACAAAACCTTCAGATACCTTGAGAATTCCTCTACTCCTGTCCCACAACTCAGAGATGGCAAATTACCCTTTTTCAGTTGAGAATCGTGGCCTCAGATTTGTAGCTGCCAATCCTCCTCCCAACTGCTTCACACTTGGCAGCTAGCTTCCCCAACCAGATCTGAAGGTCATAGTTTAATGGAGCTACGAGGACCACATCATCTGCAAAAATCATTGATGAAATACTCCTGCCACCAAACTCTGCCACCTCCATTTGGCAGCTACACCTAGAAAATCTGCCCTAAATGTAAGAGAACCGGTAACGACAAGCAGCCCTGGTGGGGTACAGCCCACACAGCTCTGGCTTCATCTAGCACAGTCGGACCAGACTCACGTTCTCTTGCTGCAAAGACTCAATGGCGCTTGATATAGGGCCATCGGCAGATACTCCTACAGCGTGCACCTGTGGACGAGGACATAAGCCTTCTCGAGAACAACAAATTACATTCCATCCCTCTTGCAGCTCCCCAACAAGGGTAAAGTGTTGGTGCACTGTTTTGCAGCAAACTATGGACCAGACCTTCCTCTCCAGTAACTTGGAGTAGACTTTCCAAGGAGGCTGAGTATAGTGGTCCCTCTATAGCTGAAAAACATCCTCTGGTCCTCTTTCTGAATAACAGGGAAAGTCACGTTCACTCAAATAAATTAGAATTCAAACGTTTATTCACTAAATAAAAATCAGATATTATGTAATTGAAAACAGCAATAATGTGCATGCAAGGGAGCAGCAGTTTTGTCTTACATGATGTGGCGATTAAGTGCACGAGTAGTTACTGGCTTCCAGATAAGGTCTCTCATTTTACATTTTTATTAAGAAAACATCGATCTTTGATACCATTCACACTATTTCTTCCTTTGTACTCCACCTCTCCCTTCTATCTTCACCACCCTCATTACCCTTGTCATCTAACGAGGAGACAGTGACAACGAGGGCCTGTGTCCTTAGACATGTAGAAAAGCTCTGCTATTGACTGGCATGATGAGCTGCTCTTTCCTTGTTCCTTTCCCACAATCCCCATAATTCCTCTGTCTTAGCTGCCAACACGACACACTCAACGAGACCACAGGGGCAGTAGATGGGGGCCTGCTGTCTCCACTTATTATGTCAGCGCACAGAGAGGGCTTTGCCTCCGCTTACTGATGCACACATAAATGCATACGTAAGGGAACACGCTGCAGACCATCAAAATGTGAATGGACCTCAACATGGCCACACACAATCATTTACATCACCTCCCACACGTGCGCTTAACCACAGTGGAACCTTTTCTTGGTTGCACCACAGGACTGGTTTAAGAAAGCATTTTGTCGTCTCCAAAGGTCACACAGATGCATCTTTTGCTGGCTATTGCTGGCAGAAGAACAAACTGTCACATTTGTAAAAGGCTGCATACAAACTGTGGATTATCTCTCTTTCTCTGACTCCTTGCTGACATTTCAATGGGTGACCAAGGAGGAAAAGGATGTTTCCTCTCTCCTCTTGAGACTTCCACATTGCTTTTCTTGTGTAATGGCCTCCCATGTTGTCAAAGGAAACACACCAGCACGGTAGCTACACATGTCTTTATGCATAACTGTGCTTATTGATTTATTACTGACAAGAAATGTGTTACTGAAAATGTGTAAAGGCAAACAAATAGGCTTATATTTAAAAAAGCGCGCACACACAAGACCTGATACATTGTTTGTTCCCCACACTTATCTCCAGCTATCAACCCCGCCACTGAATAGGAATTTGCTGATGGCATCCTGCTTCCTCTGTACACTGTACAGTAATGGAGTCAATAAAAGACTGGAGGTGGCAGGAGGCGCATTCTGATTTTATCTGTTTATGTTCGTGTGCCTCATCAGGAAGCGGTGAAGGAGAACCACAAGAAGAGGGAGATGGAGGAGAAGATCAAGAGAGCCAAGCTGGCGAAGGAGAAAGCAGAGCGCGAGAAGCAGGAGCGCCAGCAGAAGAAGAAGCAGCTGATTGACATGAACAAAGGTACGCCACTCTATTCTGCCACAGAGACAGAGATGGGGAGGCAGATGGGGCGTTCAGGGGACAAGAGCGCAAGAGGGTGGAAAAAGACGCTTTCATGGAATTGTGCTTCACGCACATTTGAACTCCAAGGCAGATCTTAATGTAGAGGAACGGAGGAAGTCATATTTTTTTAAATGTGAGGGAATCTTATATTTAAAGTGCTTCCATCTATGATTCGGTGCTTTCAAACACAAGAGGGGTTATGCTGGAAATGGTATTTTTTTATTTACCGAACTCTGTTGACAGAAACATCTTCTCCCCTTGCTGCATCCGGAGATCTCTAAATTCAACACATCATATTTACTGTTGTAAACTGTAAAATAGACAAAAAACAAATAAACAGTGTGTTTACAGGTACAGAAACTGAAAATATGGGTTACACTTAGAGCTAGGAAACTAAGATCTTATTGACAAGTGAAGACCACGCTGTAGATGGCAGTTTCACCCCGATCCAAGTGTTTCTATTAGTTTTTCATTAGTTACGTGGATGCAACATGAGAAAACCAACGGTCCCACAATGTTTGCTGGCAGCGTGTTAAATTTATTGTTGTGAACCGCCAGAATGACTCCAATGCCCTGCAGCAAAGCCAGTAAGTCAGGTATTGATCAGTGTAAGTTGCAGTTGTTCACACATGGAAAAATTAGTGTGACAGAGCCCGATGCCTGTGTCTGGTTACGCCAGTGACATTGAGAAGGAATTTCAAGCCTGGAAGGGCTTTGCGAGCAGTCAGCTTGGGTCTTTTGTCCATTATCTATTCATATTTTCTGACAAACACACTGGGATTTCCACACCAGCTTCTAAATGTCAGTGTCAGCCAAGGACCTCTCCATAGCTCAGCCACATTGGGAAATGTGACAAGACAGTCTTCAGTGCACCACAACCTCTCCAAGATAATTGATGCATGCTGCAGTTTCTCTTCGTTTTTGATGCCTATGCAGAGTCCTCTCTAAAAGCTCTTCTTTTAATGATCCAACATGGCTGAGCTGAAGGAGGCTGCTTACCCCGTTCTCTCATTCAGCCTAACCAGATGGAAAAGTAGTATGATATTAAATATTTCTGCCAGAGCAGATTCTGATCTTGGTTTCCGAATGCCATAATATGACATTGGACATGAATAAAACATTAGGATGACATGGGCAGCGTTGCCTGCAGCCTTGCAGATAGTGGGGATTGTCCTCCGCACCAACACCTGGACTGTCAAAATGACAGTGACCTTGGAAGTGTTTTTCTAATCCAAGCTGTAGAAAGCCCTTGCAGCTTTACCCCCGGTTAATGTTCTTACCTGTGGTTCTTTTTTTTTTATTATTAAACCTTGAATAGTTTGTGTTTGTTTTCAAACTTGTAAGGTAATCAGATGAAGGACAAACAAATGCAGAGCTCTGTTAATGGGTGTTGTGAAAGGGAACCTGAACCTGAGCCAGAAGCAGATTGGAGGTTAAAGCAGCCTGGTGGGTTGTGCTCGTGTTTTCTCTCGGTTTCTTTTTAAGCCGTCTGGTTGGAAAACATATAGTAGAAAATTCAGTGTTTTCTTGTTGTGCTTCTTTCTTCTCTGCGCCTCCACTCCTCTCTATTTGACAGCCTTGGCTTGAGAGTCTTGGCTCTTGTCTCCCAGCCTGCTATAAAATTCTACATGTGCTTCACATATTTGAAGAGTTGCTTATTTGAGGTGATTTTTCGTATCAATATTTCATGCAGAGCATCGGTCTTGTTTTCTGCAAAGGTTGAGGTAAAATACAGTAGTGTGCAACACAAAAAGGCTCGTTTAATTCCTCTCAACATTAATTAATCATGCCCAAACATTTTCTGCATTAATTTTGAATTTCAAAGGTTGAAAGGCTAAATAAAACATTTAAACAGATAGTTTGATACACCTGCTCTTATCAGACGGATAAAAATATATTTTTTAGAGCATATCGGTATTTGTTTTGATTGCAGATGCATTTGTTGAGCAGATGGAGTAAACATATGTCTATTGCATTATGAGAATTATTTACAGGTCACCGTCTTATCTATTTTAGGGATTTACTAATTTTATTGCCTAAAAGACGGCTGGATGGATCACAGTATTTTGTTTAATGCAATTTCGCGAGTCTATTTTTGAGAAGAGATAGATTTGATGTCATTTCACAAATTGCAACCTAATCCTCTTCACTTGTGAATGATTAACAATGAAATGCATATTTAATGAGAGTTTAATTCATTTAGTTTTTGCCAGGGTGGCACCAGGATGGGGGGGGGGAGGCAGACAAATGCTTTCAGGAAAAGAATTACAGAGGTGGAGAATAAAGGAATGCAATTCTTCACTTTATGAAATTTGATGTACGGTGTGCACACTTTTTCACTGCTCTTGTCTAATAGAGGAAACCAATAAACTGCATTCTTTTCTTAATGAAGTGCTGGAAATCTCAATATGGTAAATTTTATTTGAAATCATTACCCAGCCACTCCATTTGTTTTCATTTGCTCTAAGTGGATTATGCATATTCTCTTGAACTGACCAGATGTTCCGCATTCACAAAACCACTTTATATCGCTGGAATTAACTGTTGAACATTGTAAAATAAAGCCAAGCAAACTCTTTTGTCTGGCACACGGTAAGATGTTTCAACACAGCAGAGGGTATTTTTACTGCAGGAAACGAAAGGATGTCAGAAGCAGAGTGGAGAGTGTGTAAAAAGCTGGAGCGTGGTGGAATGTTTGAACTTTTTTTTTTGTCTCCAAGGCATTTGGGAAGAGTAGCAGACCCCTCGGGTTGCCTGCGTGGCTGAAATCACCGGGGTCAGTGCCCCCGTCTGGGGCACGTGTCTGAACCTACATGTCAACAGTGTAGCCGAGTCAAATTCACTAAGCTTTGAACTGAGCCGGAAAGCACATATGCTTCTTTTAAAACCAATCTAGCCTGGCACGTAGAAAGATACATAAGAGAAGAACACGTCCAGAAAATAACAGTGAGTTTTATCTCACCCAGGTTAGACAGAAAAACTAAAGCTCGTATAAAAATTCACAGTTAGAACACCAAGTATTTTATTTGTTAGCTGTGTTTTACCAGTAAAGCTAGATTCATTGTAGACTTGTTTTATGAGTTTTTCCTTTAAAAAAAAGAAATCATGTGATAAGATGCCAGCCCTTCTGTTGTTATCTTTAAGAATTTTACTAAAAAAAAAAAAGCACTGCTTCATATTAATAATTTTATTTTTAACTCAAATGTTGATGGCATAATTTTTCACCAAGTGAATTGGAGCCCACCCTGCTGCTTTAATCCACTGCAACAGCTTGCAGACACAAGCAGAAGCATATCCATACATCGAGTTACTTTCATAGCACGCTTTGTGTTAAATGGGTTTCGGCATGGCAAGTGTGTTGCAATGTAGCTATTGAACACACATTACAATCATCTTTTATGTAGTTATCTTTGTTCACACAACATCTGGTGACTGTATTTACACCGCAGAATATACCTTATGTTTAAAAACCACTAAGCCATGAGATGAATGAATCTGAAGCGTTTGCAGCCACAAATGTTTGCAACTTTTTCTAAAAACTCAAACGTAGAACACAAGGATTGCTATTTGTTTGTCATCTCAAATGTAATCAAATATATTATTTTAACAAAAATCATGTTGGTGCTTCTCCTAGTAATCCTTCTTAAAACGTTTCAGCGAGTCCCGTTAAAATAAGGTCTCGGTGTCTCTACGATTCTCTGCTCTGAGAGCAGTTGGCATGTTGACAATGATGGGCCTGCAGCTTCTATTTATGCATCCTTCTTGTCAACCTTTCACTCGTTGAGGATCAAATGATGTATGTTTACATAAATAGAAGTGGGCTCCTCTTGGAGAAGCACATATTTTCTAAATATGAGAAAAATAAGTCAGCGAGGTTAGTTAGGTTAGGCCTTGACAGCAGACTGCAAGGTTTGCATTGCTTATGTTTTTTGTGCAAGTCGGTAAGGTCCGCATGTCCCAGTTCTGCAGACATGGTGTTTTTAATTAGTGTTAATGATTGATATCAATAAGGATGTCAAATATGTACATTTTAAAATGAACGGTTATCATTTTACTCGTGTTTTCTGCCAACGATGTCTGCAACTTTTATTTTGGAGGGAGGATTTTCTAAATTTATGTTTCTATTAGTGAGCGAAGCTAATCTAAGTTGACATATTTCTGCGCAGCCGGTTGACTGTGTGTGGAATGCAGAGCGCTGTCAGGACCGACAGGAGTGGAGCGGCAGATTGATGGCTGCGTGTGACACTGACAGCTGCCAGTAGGCCGGCGCATACCTGCGTCGCGGCCATGCCAGCTAGGTGATCACAGACAAGCGCTGACATGCTGCGGTGGGGCGCACAGGTCGGCTCTCCAGGTTTGCATAGTGTCTCCAGAGCACAGCAGACGTGGGAAATAATAGAAGCGGTGGAAGATAGCTTTAGCGACAGGAAGGTCAGAGACACAAGCAGATAAAAGAAATGTTTCTCAGAGAGATTCTTGCTGCAGCTTAGCTTGGAAAATGAAGCGGATATTAGAGCTGAAGCTGACCTTCATGTTTGATGTGGAACATAACAAACAAGGACAGACCTTTCAACAACGTAGCTATGATATATGGTACAATGCTTCTCAAATTGTTGCCTGTTTATTGGCTCAGGTGTAATTTCTGTTTCCTGGCGTTGATGTGGTCCACGCCTGTGTGTGTACCTCATTTGATGAGTTACAAAGAAACTAAAATATACTCACCACATCTGCATAAGGATGTCTCTGCAGCAGAACGCACACGTTTGAGCCAATTGCTTTTTCTTTGCCCTTGCTGCTGAGCTGCCCCAGTCTTTATTCCAAATAGCACACGACAGGCTTGGCAATTGCTTCCTATAGATCGGCGAACTTCATAATTACCCTAAAAGACGAGAACAAGGGAGCCAGGATTATCTGCTGTCATACACCCAATCTAATAAATTACAGCATATTAGGTTTCG